AAGTAAAACAGTAAAATATGGCAAAAATGCACAGTTTGGTCTTCCATCTTCAACTTGTTGTAAAATCTCCAAAACTCAACCAAATCGCTCAATTTTTTTTAGAATGAAGCTAAGACTATCAGCTGTCAAATGACATAGCAATAATATAGATGCAAATGACTCTAGTACTTCCAAAAATGAACAAGTGCCACCTGTTGTAACATGCTTCATGACTTTTCTGACAACCCAATAGTATTAGCCATAACAGAATATGAGATGAATCAGGTACTTTTAATTTGCTCTCATAACCAGCATTTGTTTTTGTTTTTATTCATAATTGTCACTAATGTTGCTGAGCTATAATCTGAAAAGACTTTTAGTATTTGAAAAACCTAATTATTCTATTATTTAATGTTTTAATTCAACATTTATTGAACACTTACAATTGGAAAAGACAGTGCCTCTGTGTGCGTTTGTGTATTAAAAAGAGAATTTTAGAACATTGTGCCCATGTTTTAAAGTCAGCCTCAAATAAAATTGAAACTTGTGAATGTTTTCCACATTTTATGTGCTGCCTTTCCTATCCTATATTGTATTGTCGTGGTGATACCTTCAAAACCATAGAAAGGCTAAATCTAATTCAGGGAAACTTGTTTCCTTCATGTTAATAGAAGTTAGGGAAATAAAATATGTTCTGTTTTGTCATTCTAATAGATATCTAATAGTGACATAATTGTCATCATTGCTAATGAGCTATAGATAGATGATATTTAAAAACTCTTATTCAATTGGAAGTATCATTTATGGTTTATTCAACTCAAATCAGCAACCATTTATTGGGTTAGACACTGCATTAGATACTAGAAGTAACAAAAATGATTAAAGCACAGACCTGAGCATGGGAAGGAAAGAAGGAATGTAATTAATATTTTTTGAGCAAATACTCTGTGACAGATTTTTGCATATCTTTTCTCATTAATCCCCTCATAACAATCCTGAAGTATTATCCCTCTTTTGTGGAAGAAGATACAGGCTCAGAGCAATTAAGTAACATGCTCAAGGTCACAAGACTAGTTGGGGTAGAGTCAATATTGGAACCCAGATCTGTTCAACTCTGAAGTATATTCTCTTTCCATTGGACCATTCTATCTGAATACTAGTCATTGACTACTGGGAAAAAGTAACTTTTATAAATGGCAGTTTAATAGCTTGCATTTTAACAAATGAAACATAATGGTATGCAGTGATTATATATTTTAAAATAATTTTAAATTAGATAAGCATGATCTCAGGGGGGAGGGCAATAGAGGGGGAGAGGGGGGGGTTGTTACTTTGTGAGGGTGAAAAGGATAACTATTGCATTGTACTGTACACCTGAAACTAACAGCAAAAATAATAATAATAATAATAATAATAATAATAATAATTTTAAATTAGAAACTATTCTAAACATAGAAGTTAGAGACTAACCCAGTATAGTCATTATGGAGCTATATTCTATATTCAACCTTAACATTATGTATGTTTGAGTCAGACTTTTTTAAAGAAATAAAACATTATAGAACAGTTGAGACTTTCTACCCCTCCCTGATCCTATTCTCTTTTTTTCCTCCCTAGAGATAATACTATTAAGAATTTGGTGTTTATCAGTTTTATGCATTATTTCTTACTTTTATACATGCTTAAGAGTCCATAAGTAATATATTATTTTGCAGGTTGTAAACTGTTTTTTAATTGTATCCAAGGAACATATTATTATATAACTTACTTTTTGTGCTCAATAATGTTTTTGAGATTTAGCCACATGATACATGTAGCTCTAGTTCTTTAATTGTTAAATGCTGTGTTAGTATTCCATTAGATGAATATACCAAAATTTATCTGTCCGTTTTCCTGTAATTACATATTTAAACAAGATTCTGTTATGGTTTTGACTCAAAACATATCTGATGAACTTCCATCATAATACTGGAACATATTTTGATAATACTATCTACACTAACTTTTTTTTTTCTTGGTGCAGATCATTCTCGAATTGAAGTGTGGAAATTTGGCGATACTGTCATCGAGTACCTATACCACTGGTTACACATCTGTTTAGCTCTCACGGAGCTAAACAAAAAGCAAAATAGTGCTATTACACCCCCATTGCCCTCCAAGACTGACTCCTGTGTGTATGCAAAAATGCCAGGTGGAGCTGCTAGATAAATGCTAATGGAATTGGTGCTGTATTTAGGATACTTTTGTCATGTTCAGTTTTGTTAAATATAAAATATTTTCAATTGGAAGGGAGTGACATATAGACATATTCTGCTCCTAGACACTTACCTCAGCACTTTTTAAAACCAGAAGTGTTACCTAAGGAGAAATTTGATCTAAAAAAATATCCAATTAAAGTAGCCACAACCAGATGTTATAGAATATATTTAGAAGTTTCCTTTTAGTTTAAGCTTTGCATCTGCCATGGGATTATTATGGCTGAATGGGTGGAGTTATTTTAACTCTTTTAAGGTACAAAGACTGAGGATTTAGAAAAAAATGGCAGTTTTTACATCAAAAGAGTACCAAATAATAAAGAATTTAAGAAATGGACTAGGAATTGTTTTTCTAATTTTTCAAAGACTTATATGAGCACCACTTCTCTCTCCTCATTTCCCCCACCACCCATCTACCTTAACAGCTTATAAATTATTTCAATGAATAGAGATTCTTGTGGGAAAATGTCTGTCCATGACTCAAGGAAAAAAGAAAACACCTGTTTTTATAACAAAAACCTCTCAAGATCAAGAACTGGAAAAAGAATTTATATTTAAAGCTTGTTATTACAGCAAACTTTACTGCTCTGTTGTGAGATTTCATCTTTGCAATAAAATATCTGATGACAGCATCCATTTTTAATAAAATTTTGGGAAATTAAACTTCATTTTCTTTATTTGGTTGACAAAATGTGATGTGTTCCAAACATCTTATAATTTGAGATTGGAGGTCCCTTTTTAACCTTTTCTGATAAGATGGCAGTGTTATTACCAGTCCTCATCTCTTGGATGATAGCATGCCCAGTTTCAACCTATAAGCCTGTTTCATATTTGGAAGAGGGCTTTTCAGGGCATTTGCAGCAACATTTTCTAGGAACAATGTTCTTGAAGATATTAAACTGATAGCCACACATCCTGATGGCTTCAGAACAAGCTTATAAAGAGTTCATTGTGAATACAAATGGCATTTTAGGCAGCAAGGAGGGGACATTTTTGCAGGATGCTACCTTTTTAACCACTATCATGATAATTAACTAAATGGCATTTAGCTTAGTGATAATAAATATCGCACATTTGCATGGTATTTTAAGTTGTTTGAAGTATTTTCACATACTAGCTCATTTGATCCTCCAATAACCGGTAAGGTGGCAGTATCAATATTACTATCGCCATTTTATAAATGAGGAAACAGTCTCAAAGAGTGAGTTACCTAGGTCACAACAGCTAGTAAGAGGCAGGGTGGAGCTAGGTCCCATGTGTCCTAATTTCTGGTTTACTTCCCTTGCCAGCACCCTAGATCTCTCACAAATGCTTTCCAACCTTCACTAGGCGAACAACCACATTATCAGTCTTTTGGAAACTACTTTAAAATTAAACAAACAACACCACAGATTGGTTGAATGTATTTAACCATCATTCAAGTAAAATACTATCCCTGAATAATAGAAGCTTACTTTTTTAGTGAAGATGTTACTTATACTTCACAAAAATTTAGATATAGATTTATGATTAAATCTATTACATCAATAGATAGATTTATTGATTTACTTATATTTACACATACTTCTGAAGCTGAGGCTCGATTAGTTGAGTTTTTTGACTCTCCATAGTGTATAGGTAACAATGACACTATACTGTGTAAGCCATCCAGACTACTTTCCTTTATAATTATGGCTTTTCTCCAGGAACAACATAAGGGTTCAAGACAACGATATTGGAATCTCAAAAAAGCTCCTACTGGCTCCTTTAACAGCTTTAATGAAATATAACTCACATATCATACAATTCACCCACTTAACATGCACAATTCAGAGGTTTTGGGAATAATCGCAGAATTGTGCAACCATTACAACAATCAATTTTAGAACATTTTGATCACCTCCATAAGAAACCCCGTACACATTAGCAGTCACTTCCCATTTTTTCTCACCCAGCCCCAGGGAACTACTAACCTTGCTTTCTCTATGGATTTACCTATTCTGGATATTTTATATAAATGGGATCATACAATGTGTGGTCTCTTGTGACTGACTTCCAATTCCTTCTTAATTGAAATATGATCAAAAGACCAGCTGCCCTTAACTTCCACAGACATTCCCAATCCACTGACTCAGAAGGCCCTTTTGCAGGTAATTTAGGGAGTTTTCATTCCTCTCATGTAAGGCTTTATGCAACGCCACTCCTATTTAACCTCACCCCGCATCATCATTTCATCATTAACTCTGTTCTCCCCTATATGATCTTATAAAGACTTCTCTAACAGACAAGATCAACTAATCAAATATTGCCTATTTCTTTGTTTTTAGGGATGGTAATTATTCTCCATGGTTATTCCATCGCCTAGTCATTTACCGTATTTTACCTCTCCTCAGTCTACTCCTCAACTTAGACTATCATCCTGCCCACAGACTGCAACTGGTGAGGCAGCTCTAGGTGGCCATATTTTGTACCATGTGACTCTGACTCTCCAGCCACAGCTGTTTATATTGAGGTTGACCCCTTGTCAAAAGGAGACCAATTTGTGAAATGCCCTGATATAAAAAGTACCCAAACCATGGACAAATCAAACTGGAGGTAGCAGTAGGAGCAGTGTTTAGACGGATATTAAGGTTTTAAAGAGGGCAAAAGTGTCATGATAGGCCTTAAACAAATTGAAGCTCACTGCCTTCCAGACACCGTATGCTAGTAGAAGCTGTAGATAGAGAAAAGGTGTAGAGAGTGAGTCGTTGGTTAGCGAAAAGAATGGACACAAAGACAAGCAGAGACTGAAAGAGTAGGGAAGTAACATTAGTAACAATGTCCAAAAAATTAGAATTTCAGGAGTTTGGGTTCTGAGGTCCCCCACAGTTGCCTTGGATCCAACACCAGTTGAATGTCCAGTTCTTGAAGTCTTATTTCTGGAAGTCTAAGACAATTGGAATTCTCTGTTGTATAACAATCAGGAGTACGACAGTGTTGACCTACCTTTTACTGCTTCTATCCTTACAGCATCTTCAATTAAAGTTCCCCAACATGGGTTCGAAATGTTAGAAGGCTTCTCTGTGTCTCTGATTCACACTGCAGGTACCACCCTTGCTGCAAACCCTGCCAAGTGATAGAAGAACTTGAACTCTCTGCAACACTGAATCTGAGAAATCAACGTCCTAACTCTCGGAAAATCTCACCAAGACAGTGGGAAGATACAGAATTCAACACCCCAATTCAAAACCTCGCATTTGCATAGGATATTGAGCTTTAACTTTGTGTTAACTAATTCCCCGCTCAGTCTCTTTAAGCAAGAGGCAGATAGCCCTGGAAAGGGACTTTATTTTTACCCTTTATTGATTCTGTTTATTTTAAACAAAGTAACACATGCTCACAGTTTAAAGAGTCATCCTGTTGTACAAGGTCTGTTACCACTATAGAGTATTTCCCAGCCCCACTTCACCCCTATTTTCCTTGCTTTTAACTACTTTCAATTCTTTTAGCTCAGGAGTTAATCAACATTCCCACTAAATCTGGCCAGTTGCCTGTTATGATAAAGTTTTATTGGAAAAGCCATGCCCATATGGTCTATGACTACTTTCATATTACAAGTGCAGAGTACAGTAGCTGCCATAGAGACCTATGACCCACAAAGCCTAAATATTTACTATCTGATCTTTTGCATAAAAAAGGTTTGCCAACCCTTATTTTGGCTTAGTTTTGACAGGTACCTCCATATTGTGAAATAATATGCTGTGTAGCTTTTTTTTTTTCTGATTTAGGCAATAGTTATTAACTTCCCGGTACACAATACAAAGATTTAACTTCTTCTTCAGCATGTGTCCACACACACACAAATACATACACATTTCCCATCCCTCCATTCTTCCCAACATAATTACATTGTGACTTGGATTAAAATAGATGGATATTCAGTGTTTGCATTATTATGAATATGTATGCTACTTAGGGCTTAGCCATGTAGAAAATTACAGTTATTTTCCTTTTCTGAACATCTTTTTTGCTCTCCCTGGAGTTAATGTCAAAAGAAAACTTTTGGAGTGGCTAGAGTAACTATAATAATATCACACAAAGTAGGTTTCAGAACAAAGAATAGTACCATGATAAAGAAAGCTATTTCATAATGAAAAAGGGGTCAATTAATTAAAAAGACATAACAATCTTAAATATTTGTACATCTAAAACAGAGTTTCAAGATACAGGGAGAAAAAACTGATAGAAATCCAAGTCCATAGAGACAGAAGTAGATTACTGGTTGCCTAGGGTTGAACGGTTTGGGGGAAAGTGGGAATGACTAATGGGCACATGGTTTTGGAGGGGGATATTGAAAATATTCTAAAATCGATTCTGGTGATGGTAGTACAACTCTCTGAATATACTAAAAACCAATGGATTATACACTTTAAATGGATGAATTGCATGGTATGTGAATTATACCTCAATAAGGGTGTTTTTAAAAAGATAATTATACTAGATGGAAATCTGGATCTACACAAAGATATGGAGATACTGGAAATTGTAAATATGTGGGTAAACATAATATTTTTCTTACTTAAAATATTCTTGAAAGATAGTTGACTGTTTATAGCAAAAATAATAATTTATTGTGCATTTATAACATAAGTAGAAGTAAAATGTATGTAATAGCACAAGGTCTAAGAGAGGGAAAATGGAAGGCCTGTTTACTTTTGTAAGTTTTTTTTAATACTATACATAAAGTGATATATTCTTACTTGAAGGTAGACTATGATAAGTTAAAGATGTGTACTGGAATCCCTAAAGCAACACCTTAAAAAAGTAGTATGGCTAAGAAGCCAACAATGAGGTTAAAGTATAAAAATCTTAAACTGAATCATAAAAAGTTCTTGATTAATCCAGAGCAAAAAAAAAAAAAAGGGTGGGGGGAGAGAACAAAGAACAGATGGGAAAAATAGAAAACAAATTGAAACCATACTGTGGATGAAAAGGGGGCCACATACTAAATCTGACAAACTCAGGGGAGGCCTGTGTGGTGGGCCTTATAAACTCAGAGACAGAAAGTAACCACAGAATGGTCTGAACATAAACATTCTAACTTTTTAAAAACCAGTCATGGAGGGTAGTCAAGTCTTAGGCCTGTAACTTCCTTGACAAAGATCAATCTTTACCTTAACTGGGCATGTCAATTGTCTTTTTGAATCTAAAGTAACATCCTTTAAAATGCCAGAGTAATCTTTTTCCAGGCAGACTCCTCAGGGCACAACTGCTGCACCAGATCAGAGACCACAGAATCCCTCATCGTTATCTTGTTTCCCACATG